CACTGTAAGCCTCATCATGACATATGTTCTGACATTTACAGTTACACAAACATGAGGAGGGACATTTACAACAAATTGCATGCAGATGTTGCAATCATGATAGCAAAGGGACAAACATGCAAAAAATATAAGAGTTTTTCATTTTGTGCCACTTCATATGTTTTAATACAATTTACTAAAGGTGATAACTAAAATTAAAACAAACAACACAAAACCGTTTATATGCCTAAATTCACTTTTGGCACTTTAAGGATTTTTAAATATTTTAAGTATTTATGATGCTTTTGGACTTTAATTAAATAAATTATGTAGCATTTAAAAGTCAGTTTGATACATGAATGTGCAAGTTATGGGCACATCTAGGACACAAGGGGAGATAATTAGTCAATAACCTGCCTCTTGTAAGCTCACTGCATTGCACTTACAAGAGACAGGGAACAAGACGACCACTCACTCGCTGTGAATGCAGCACTATTACTTGGGCTGTTCTTACATCAGTGGAAATCAGTGCAGTCCCACATCAAACAGACTTTGTTCTAACGACTTAGCAGGTTTAATAGCATTTCATGTCCAAGCTGACTAATTTGAACATTTGGAAGCTATTATGTTTTTTTAATTCTTCGTTAAGAAGCACACTGCCTACATATCCAACAATGCATTTCAACCTCTAGCTGTAGCTTCAGGTAGCTTAACCCACAAACTTCAGGCATGACTAAGGAGGCGGTGAAAGAAGTCTGATAAGCTTTTTTTATTTCTAACTTCACACCACCAAATTACTTTATTGTCAAACTCGCAGTCTTGCGGTCAGAGCCAAATGATGGAGACACAGCTGGACCAAAAGCTGTAAACAGACTTCCCCTTTAACTAAACTCAAACTTGCAATGGCAACATTTTTTGGCTCTGGAGTATTTACTTTTTCTCATGTAAAGATGTAAATAAATGTAACCACCACTGAGAAATCCTATATGGATCTTGTTTGTGGACAGAAACAGTTAATTGAGTAAATGTAGCAGAACATTGGAATTGGCAGTTCTCCTGAGCCTAATCAGCTGCAATCTGGGAAAGGCGGTCATATTTTAGATTGGCATCACCACAAACCACATGGTTGTATATCTGTCAGTGGTGATTCATGCAGCACAGCTGTGTGTTTGCTTGCTTGTGTCCGTTACTGTGTGTTTGTATGGGTGGAAGGGGGAATCACATATATCACAAACATACAATACTGTTTACAGTATACCTGTTTATCTGTTAAATGGCATTTTAATAAAAAGTAGGGGAAAGCAGTACCACAGCATTACGAAGCAAAGTGAGCACAGAGAGAGAAGAGTCATGCACAAACCTCCCCCACCTTCCACTAAGATGTGGTATTGTTTTAGTCTCATGGAGGATATCCCAGGGAAATGTGATGTTGCACTAAACACAAAGAGAAGGGAAGTGCCTGCTATATAGACATAGACCTAGGGGCTGAGACATGCTGGTTTATCCTCACGCAGTGATTAAATAAACTCAGGATGGTTCTGAGAAGCCTCACATATAAACTGGGTCAAGTGGGCCCCTTGAAAACCCAGAGCCTGACCTGTAGCTATCACTCTTGGGTGTCCTGTAGTGTTTGGAAAGAGAACTCAAGCGGTGCGAGTTGTGTTAAAAAATAGATGTCCACTATGGCATTTTTTTAGATTTACCACAGAGTACAGAGTGACATCAAATTATGAAGTCTGCTCTGCTCCACTTCCATGAATTCCCCTCCACATGTCACTTATTAGAGGAAGCAGTCAAGTCATTACGCATCTGAATTCACACCGACCAAAATTGGAAACCTGAAAACGACTGGGAAAACAGAGCAATGAGCCAGCAGCTCCTGCAAGCAAACCGTTTATGATTCATGAAAAAGGGCACCAGAGCAGACGTGCTGATATTTAGGTCATCACTGTTTATTGCTAGCTCAAGCCACCAGACGAAGAGTCTATCCTTATAGATCTAAGTACTTAAACACAGTGCAGTGAAAAGTAAAGTTAGCGCATGTGGTCTTGGTACAGCCATTGATTACACCAATCACAGCAGCAACAGTCACAGTTTTAGGGCAAAGCTGGTCAGCCGGGCGGAGAGAGCAGAGAACAGACAGGGGGGGCTCTGGTATGTGAGGAATGTAGCTAAGGCAAACAGAAAGGCCCACACTCCTGTGTCTAATGAAATCAATGCTTCCAGCTTTTCTGGTGCAAGGGCCAAATCAGAGAGAGAGCAGCTCAATCAACACATGAGACTGACTGTGAGACATGTTCTTCTTGTTGAGAACAGCAGGACTGAATCTGAGATGAGCCTCGGCTGAAATCTGCTGGCCTACTTGCCCGTCTGCCCGACATATTCGAGCTCCCAGGCTGATCGTGTGAATAGGAGCCGATGAGGGGTAAACACAGGCAGGGCAAGCAGTGAAACATGAAAAATGAAGAATAAATTTGATTTACACCCACACAATGCACATCATCAGTCAGCAGGGAAGTGGTTCATGTATTCTGTATTTGCTCTCTGCTTCAAGACAAACACTAACACATTTCTATTTAGAGAGTTGCGGGTTTACTGAGAGGTCAGAAGTTGGAATTATATATATATATATATATATATATATACACACACACATCATTAATGTAAGGGCAGTGCTGAGTTATCAGCTAAGGCTTGGCTATCAATTTCTGTCCATAAACTGTTCTGTACAATCTAGATATCAGCTAATTAATGGTAACTAAGTAATAAAATACTGTAAGCACAAGTTAGTTGTAATATAATACACCAAATGGCACCAACAGCATAAACACAGTGGAGGGGTCGAGCTCAGTGACTGCAGTTAGTGAATGTGAGGCCAACCAGAGATATCAGCTAGAGATGCCTGTGTCTGGATGCATGTCTATCAAAGAAGTTACACCCCTAACTCCAGTACCCATGAGGATGTTACAAAAAAGACTAGACTCCCATGAGTTGATATTAGATGGGGAAATCTTATTTTTTTGCATGAGGCTGTAAACATGTTTCTTAATGCTCTGAAAGCTCGGTATTTGAACATGGAGTCTTGTTTTTGGAACCAGCAGCACTTTTTTGCACTCCTACATTAGCTATCCCCTTTTTTTCTTTTTGGCTTAGTGGCTTAGGTTACTGGTTAGTGTGGGTGTCAACCCAAGATAACTGACTACATCTGGAGGGTGCCGGGGCCACATATGGCCACATTCTTTAAGCAGCATACAAGTAATCACGTGTCCTCAGCAAAAACTGTGTGTGTACTCCTTTGGGCACCGGTGGTGTCTTATTCGACATAATGAAAATTTTGAAAAGGATTTAGAAATATATTAGAGGTTCACTAATCATCTTGGGCTGTTTAAATGGCCTGCAACACACCAAGGAATACTTAATCTGACGTCTTCTTTTAAATTCCAGCACACCAGTCACAATTTCTGGTCTTTGCCCACTGAAATAATCTAGGTGTTTACTGTCATATTGTGCAGGGGCATGACATTCTATTACACAAGTGGTCACTTGAGACCAGATGCTGTAAATGAAAGATGGATATAGCCATCGTGACCTTACCCGTTGGTTTGTGCAGACCTGGTGAGAAGTGTCACCATTTTTTCCCTTTTTTTAGAGCTTGAAGTGACCGTATATGGACGAGAAGATCTAGAGATAGGTTATCAGCTAACAGTAGCAACCTGGGTTAGCTGCATGTATCTGTAGTCTGCCATATTATTTGTCTGATTACGGCATTAAAATTGCTGAAAAACACACCAACATCTCAAATATGGCCGAGAGGTCTATTTCAGAGACCTCCTCATATTAGGTAAGATCGGATTTAGCAGAGTATAGCAACCTAGCTGGCATATGTTTGCTCAGTGTGACCATGGGCCTAGTTGTGCATCACTTTAGTTAATTAAAATGGGTCATAAAAGGAAAAAACAAACAAAAAAAAAAACCCGCGTTAGTATCTGGCTTTAAACATGCTTATTTCTGCAGTGAAGTTTAGTATTTGAACATTTGAGCCAATTAAATTTACCTGCTTTTAGCAAGCCTCAAGTGGCAATTTAAGGTATTGCCGTTTTTGGTACTTTACTGCTAGCTTCACCTCTAGAGGTTGCCCCTTGCTCTACATCAGGGTAGGCAACTCCAGGCCTCGAGTGCCGGTGTCCTGCAGGTTTTAGATGTGTCCTTGATCCAACACAGCTGATTCAAATTGCTAAATTACCTCCTCAAAATCTCATGAAGTCCTCCAGAGGCCTGGTAACGAACTAATCATTTGATTCAGGTGTGCTGACCCAGGGTGATATCTAAAACCTGCAGGACACCAGCACTCGAGGCCTGGAGTTGTCTACCCCTGCTCTATATTCATGTCAAGAATAATAAGGATACTTGCACAGTCTGAGCCCAACTAACCCTAGCATGCCATTTTGAAATATGCATGTGCCATCAGAGAAGAAAAAAAATCAATTGATAGAAAGTCCGGGTCATTCAGTGTATTCAGGTAGTCAGGTGACCTCAGTTTTTGGGGGACATGTTAACTGAACCTG